ACTTATTTAACTCATCCCAAACAACCCCTTAACATAACTTTCATATTTCTTAATTGCTTAACAATTTTTTTTATTTTTTTATTTTTTTTTTAACAAATCACAATGCCGTTGGACGGCACAATGCACATAGGGATGGCAATGGATAACCTACCCTGTGCTAAAAATAAACAAAAAATAAACAAAAACCAGTTTATAAAATTTTTGTAAATATAAATTGAAAACGTAAACGTTACCAAACACATCCTTAGTTTTTTTGTTTCACCCCTAAAATTTGGATGATGGAATATTGATTGGAGTTTAGTTCTAATTTAATATTCAATTGTCCAAATTTTGGGGCGTGACATCATCTCTTTGGACCTGCTCCAAAAGACGTGTGAGACCCACTCAATTTTGGACTTAAAGTTGGCCCAAAATAAGCATATAAAAAACCAAAATTCCAACACTTTGTACACCCCTATTTCTTTGTACAACTCATCTCTGTTTTCACTCTCACATTTCATTTCGAATAAAAAAACAAACGAACAACAGAACATAGTAGAGAGAGTGAGAGAGAGGAGACCCATTAGCGATTGGTAGCTCTGTTCAGAGAATAGAGAGAGGAGTCGACCTGTGTGCTATCGACGAGGCTACTGCTGCTTCTGTGTGCGCCGACGGGTCATCTCTCTCATTCCCTACATCTGTGTTCCCTCATCCCTCTCATCCCCCCCGATCTCTTCCATCCCTCTCATCTCTGTGAAACCTTCCGATCGGTTGCTGATCGCAGGAAAGAGGACGAACGACAACGAAAGAGGACGAACGACAGCATGACACAGTGATTTACAAATTTCAACAACTCCTCACCCAAAATAATTTCATGAAATGAGATCCAAATTATTTACATTATTGGTCTTCTGGCAATGTGTAAGTATAGCATGAGAAACAGAATACAACTCATGAATTTTTTTTTTCCTGGTTTGAATAGAACAAGTGTCCCTAGTGAAGAGGAGTAGAAAAGAAGTAGACTACACATGAAACTACATCACTGGAAAATCACTGGAAAATAGCATACAAAGGAAAACTTAAACCTGGACAGTTGATTAATTAAATTATATTGCAATCAAACAGAAAAAAAAATTTCATGTCCTCAGTCTGCAAATTAATATTGTGCGTAATATTAATTAGTGTGTTTGATTTCAGTTTTCTGAATTTAATTTTTTAAAAACTGAGTTCTTTTGTTTTTAGTGAATATTTTTAAAATTTTACGTAATTTTTTTGCTTTTTTAGATGCACCTTACTTAGATGTATCTAAAATAGTAAAATATTTGTGAAAAATATTTTTAAAAATTAAAAATTAATAAATACACAAAAATACGAAAATATATTGATTTTTTTGTATTTTTTGGTATTTAATGTATTTTTTTTAAAAAAATTCACAAATATTATACTTTTTAATTATATTTATGTTAGGTGTGTTTAAAAATTAAAAAAAATACTTAAAATATTAAAAAAATTTATTGAAAATATTAAAATATGAAAAATAAAAATGTAAAATTTTCTGAAAATTATTTTCTGAAAACTGGAATCAAACAAACTGAATATATTTATCTTATTAACTTCAGTGTCTTGCAATACATATCATATATAAGATCCCTAGTAATCACTTGGATTCACCTTGAATGGCATAGGAGAGCCATTCAAGCTTTGGTTTTTATCCTCAACATGAAGTAAGAGGGTTCCAACTGAGGCTGCAGTTAACTCAAAGCTGAGATAACCAACAAAAACATGAGAGAGTGTTTTTTGTATCGCTCATAGGCAGTAGAAGAGAGACGAGGAAAGGATAGCAATGCAAAAAGATAGAGAAGGGGGAGAAAAAAGTATTTTTTGAACTATTTTCGAGCCATCTTTTCGAGTTAGGAAACAATTTTGTTTTAGGAAAATGTTTGGTAATTCAAAATTTTGTGACTCAAATGATTCAAATTTGTCAAAATGACGTCGTTTTACATTATTTTACACTCAAAATGACGTCGTTTTGAATAATTTGAGCCATTTAAGTCAAAAAATTTTGAACTACCTAACATTGTTGTTTGTTTTAAATACAACCTCTGCAAGTGAACGGCACAAGTGATTGAGGGGCACATAATTGATTGGTTTTAATATCTACCTAGAAAGTTGGTTGACCGAAAACCAATGGACAGAAAATTAATGCAAGTGTTTTGATATCCAACGTTTCGTCATGGAATTTATAGTAGAGGGAAATTTATTTATTTATTTATTTTTCGAATGCGGTAAATATTTACAAAAATTGGGACCTTAATTATAGCAAGAATTATAAAAAATATATTGCTGGTAATTATTTTCATTTTTTTTCTTGAATAATATTATATAAATAAAAAAGAATTCATATATAATAACATGATTTGTTTTGGTTGTGCTTGCCTTTCTTGAATATTTTTTGTTACTAAAATAGCCTATTTTATCTTTTATGACTAAAATAACCAAAAAAATCCAGTTTAGCTCTTCCCAAACGTTAGGTGCGTTTTTGTGGTTTCCTTCCCTTTTTTTTTTAAATACTTTTTAATATATCTCATTAAATTTACGTTTTTTTTAATCAGGAAAAAAAAAATTATTGCAAAAGTGATAAAAAAAATAAAAATAAAATCAATTTCATATAGTAATAGCAAAAAATCTCATAAAAAGATAACAACTTTTCATAGAAGGAAGAATCGTAATAAAATCCTTATAAAAGAGGAAGACAACCTCCACACAAGAAGGATTATTATAGCAAATAATAAAAAAATAAAAAAGCAAACCGAAAACAATCAGATCTAAGTCACCAAACGCATCCAAAGCTCCATTATACTGCAACCTTTAACTTGAAATATGAAGACCCCACATTCGCTGGTCAAGATGAAATATTGAGGTTGAGGTGGTTGCCTAGCGTGAAACAAATGTATTAAAATAACGCCGGTTTTCGGATGAGAAGATCTAAAACTAGATCTTAAAATTTTGGAAATAATATTTGTAAAAAGTAAAGTATTTGAAAAAAAATTATTAAATATAAAAAATATTATTTTAAATATATTTTAGGAATAACATAAATGAGTATTAGACAAATTCTTTCTAATATTTTTTTTTGGTTTTTCAAAAAAAAAAGGGTAAATTATAAATATACTCATTGAGATTTGATTAAAATACGAATTGTCTCTTGTAGTTTTAGAAATTACATTTCACCTCCTGAGATTTCTAATTTCATAACAAATCACCCATTTTATTAATAAATCATCAAGTTAATTAATAATTTTTAATGATATTAGAAATATGTTTCAATTAATAATTTAGGTAATTTTATTATTATATAGGAGAACAATTATAAATTTTATTTTTTTAATTAATTCTGTTAAATAAAAAATATTAACGAGAAGGTATTTATAATTTTTCAATCTATAAAAAATAATTTATATTTTAAACAAACTTTAAGAAGTATATTTATAATTTACATTTTCTTAAATCATCAAATAATTCATATTTTAAAAAAATCTCAACAGTTTTTTTTTATTTTTTATTTATTTATTTTTTTACAGGAAACTCCTCCCTACCCTCCCGCAGGTCCAAGGCAGCTTTGCAGAGATCACTAGGATGTCCTGTTGGCCGTTCCAAGCGAGGAGACTATAACTTGAGAACTTGTCCCGACTTTCTAAAACAAGTTCCACTTAAGTCAGGACTCGCACAGTGAGAGAGTATTGAACCCATATTAAGTGTTAATTAGACAATTTGAGGTTTAACCCCTCCTAATCAATTGTGCTTCGCCTAGAAAATTAGCTTAAAAAAAACAAAAAAATTAAACTCATAACTTTAAGACTTAAATCCCAAACCTTAACCACAATGTCACACACCTTTAGTTATTATTTGTAATTTACCTAAAACAATCCTGAAAAAACTGTGGTCCGTGAGCTCAACTGTCCTTTCCCATCACAAGCTGCAAAAAACGGGCTTTATATACGGACAAGTTATTTGTTGGTCGGGACACAGTCACGTATGCCTCGTTTGGTTTGTTTTTAAGAAATAAATTTTAATTTTTTTTAATATTTTGCTTAGTATAGTAATTTTTTAAAAAAAATTAAAATTATTTTTTCTCTCCTACACATCAATTAAATTTTTTTTTTCTTTTCTCTATCATTTTTAATCACTTTTTCTTTCACATGCATTTACTCAATTATAATAAAATATCAAATTATCCCAAACTCTTATAATCCAATATTATTTTCAAAATAAACAACTAAATAAACCAATTTTTTTTTTAAAATTCTTTCTCCAAATTTTTTTTTTAAAAATTTACCTCTAAAAGTCAAACTAAATACACCTATAGTGTCTGAGGTATATTTTGAATGGCAAAGAAAGTAGTGTTCACGATTTTATTTTAAATAATTGAAAAATACAAAGATATAGAGATTTGTAATGAACACTTTAATATAGAAACATCAGGTAATTATATTTTTTATCAATTATAACTTAGGTCAAGTTTGACATCCTTAAAATAATTCATCTTTTTATCTTTTTTTCATCACATCACCTTTTTACTTTTCTACACATCTTTTATAAAAAGATAAAAAATACACTTATTTAACTCATCCCAAACAACCCCTTAACATAACTTTCATATTTCTTAATTGCTTAACAATTTTTTTTATTTTTTTATTTTTTTTTTAACAAATCACAATGCCGTTGGACGGCACAATGCACACGACCAATAACCCCGGACAATCAATAAATTTTCCTATATACTTCTCTATATATATATATATATACACACACGCCATGTCCATACACACGACTCGCATATGATTCTCCTTCGGATCTTCAAACGAATCCGAATTAAACCTCATTGATTTCTCATATTATAGGGGAATGGGGATGGGGAATTAATATCCACCCCATTGCCCCCCATTGCCATTCCTAAATGCACACGACCAATAACCCCGGACAATCAATAAATTTTCCTATATACTTCTCTCTATATATATATATATATGTACACACACGCCATGTCCATACACACGACTCGCATATGATTCTCCTTCGGATCTTCAAACGAATCCGAATTAAACCTCATTGATTTCTCATACAAATACAGAGACAAAACAGAAACAAATCGATTCATACCCGTACCCACTCCAACCCAAACCCGAGAACCCGACTCAAGCCGAGCCACCGCGACTATGGGGCTGGAGATGGGAGCCATGGCGTCGGCGATCGGCGTCTCGGTGCCGGTGCTCCGGTTCCTGATGTGCTTCTTGGCAACCCTACCGGTCAGCTTCGTCTGGCGCAACATCCCCGGCCCCGCCGCCGTCAAACACCTCTTCGCTGCCGTGTCCGGCATCGTTCTCTCTTACCTCTCCTTCGGTTTCTCCTCCAACCTCCACTTCATCGTCCCCATGCTCCTCGGCTACGCTGCCATGGTCCTCTATCGTCCTCGATGTGGCATCATCACTTTCTTCTTGGGATTCGCCTACCTCATTGGCTGGTACGTTACTTGATCTTTCGATTTTTTGATCTGTAATTGCTTTGTTGATTTATTACTATTTTTATGAGCAAATTGTTGTGTGTTTTGGTCTGTTTGGTTCCTGAGAAAAGTAAGAAAAGGGAAGTGGTGAAAATTTGGGAATTTTAAGCATTTTGGTGTTTGGGTGGGTGCTGAGTAAACAGTAAATTTCATTCATAAGTTGATCACAATCAAATTGTTGTGTGTTTTGGTCTGTTTGATTGCTGAGAAAAATGAGGAAAAGGGAAGTGGTGAAAAAATTGGGAATTTTGAACATTTTGGTGTTTGGGTGCTGAGTAAACAGTAGATTATTCACAAGTTGATCACGATGAAAGGGAAAGAAAAGTGGTCGAAAATTGGGAATTTTAAACATTTTGGTGTTTGGGTTCCAAGTAAACAGTAGATTATTCATAAGTTTGATCACAATCAAATTGTTGTGTGTTTTTGTCTGTTTGATTGTTGAGTGTAAGGAAAGGGACGTGGTAAAAAATTGGGAATTTTAAGCATTTTGGTGTTTGGGTTCTGAGTAAACAGCAGATTTCATTCATAAGTGGATCACAATTAAATTATGGAAAATTCTATACAAATTACAAATTAACAAATTTGTATGGCAAATTTTACACTATTTGGTTCTTGAAACAAGATCCACTATAATAATACGATGAATGCCACATTAGTGAGTAAGAAAAGCTTGTTAGGTTTGTTAGTCAATATAACATTACTCTTCAATTACTGGCTTAATGGATGCTAGTGATTCTGTTTATGTTGGGATTTGAAAACTTGATACATGTCTCAGTTATCTCAGGAACTAAGCCAAGCTATGGAAGTTCTTGCCTTTTTTTCTTATTCATATTTTCTGAAATTTGATTGAACTGAGTGTCATTGTCATTTTCTATAATTTGAAGAATGGGCTTTGCTCAGTATAGTGCATACCACTCAGAAGTCTGATTCCTTGTCTTAGCGAGGAAATATACATAGGCCCAACTATAGGAAAGCTCTAATAGTTATTGTATGAGGTCTTTGGTCATAAGTCATTATTGGAAAAGCTAGTTCTCTTGAAAGAAAACCAATGAATATATTAGGTCAGTGGAACTTCTTAATGCGAAAGAAAATGGTTAATAATAACACCCACCAAATCATAACTTAAACTTCTTAATGCGAAAGAAAAAGGTTAATAATAACACCCACCAAATCATAACTTAAACTAAATAGTTGAGTTGGGTGCAAAACCTCAGTCCCAAAATCTCCAGTTGCTGCATCTTTCTTCCGCAAATCCTTCTTGGAACCTTAAAAATGGGTAAACAAATTAAAATAAGGAAACAAAGTTACTGGTAAATCTTCTTACATGGATTCCTGAAGAATATAATCATGGAAGAAGTCCATATGTCTTGTTCTTTATGTTAATTGTATTCTCATCTGTATGAAACTAGAGATCCAAGTTTTGAATAATATTATAACCTTGTCAATTAAATAATGGCATGGTTGTTGGCATAGATAGGTGAAGACATGTTTGAGTCACAGAAATTAGGCTCTCCACAAAAAAGTGGGGGGAAGGTTGTCTACCTGCTACATCTCTCATAACTTGTTGTTGTACTCTTTTTCCATTGAACAATATGCAATCATAGGGCTTTTGTTTAATATCCATATACATGTTTTCTCATAGGTTGATTACTTTCTTTGTCATTTGCTAAAGACTATTTGAGAATCTCTATTTTATATATACAGATATGAACTTCTTGAAGACCATCAATTTTAATTGAAGATAATAAAAAATCTTGACTGTTTGTATGTGTAGCCATGTATACTACATGAGTGGGGATGCTTGGAAGGAAGGAGGTATTGATGCTACTGGTAAGTACCTTCTTAGACTTTCTACGTGGCTTATTTTCCATCTTTCTAGATGTTAATTGAATCTCTAGATTTTTTGTAGAGTATCCTGGTTGACCAACTTTTGAGATCTTGTTCCTTAATAAATTTAATATTATGGGATAAAGGAAAAACTTAAAAAGCACATTTTTGCCAGTGTTCCAACTTTTTAAGCTATGCTAGATCTCTCACATGTAGAACTGTGTGGTTGTTTTATTTTATTTATTTATTGTTTTGTTGATTTACTATACTCAGTGACGGTTATAGCTTTGGGCCATTCTATTTGAGATGATGTTTGTCAGATCGATTTAGTGGAGAGACTGAAATATGGGCAGACAGTTGAGAGCATGGTGTTATTAATATCTTCATCTTGCCTAATAACATTCTTGTTTGCTTGTTTGTAAACTATGGAAGACATTCTTAACACCATCCAAGATTGCTATGAATCTTTGAAGAACACAAGGTGATTGAGAAATTAATAGCCTTTTAACTGGTTAATTGTCATCCATGAATACTTGTTGACTTTAGATGGAATCCTGAAACTTCAGGATACAAATTACCCAATAACCACTAACAGGTATATCCCTCAAGTATTACTTTTTCTTTGCCATGTTGGATATTTTGCGCCCTATTACCCATAGGCCATGCTGCAACTCATGTTGTTCAGGACGCTATGTTGAATACATTGTATCCTTGTTGGACATTCTAATCTACTTTGGTGTCCGTAACTCCATAAAAGATTATTTATGGCGAAAGTCTAACAAGGTGTGCATGTGCCACTTTGGGCATTTGTGTAACTTTCTAAAATCTCTATTGCAGTTTGTTTTATTGCCAAAGAGTAATGATTCATCCCCCCTTTTCCCCCCACCCCCTTTGACCCCCTCTCTCTCTCATTGGTTACATTTTCTTTTTCTTTTTCTTTTTTTTCCTGCTCCTCCAATCACCTGGTGTCCGTAACTCCATAAAAGATTATTTATGGCGAAAGTCTAACAAGGTGTGCATGTGCCACTTTGAGCATTTGTGTAACTTTCTAAAATCTCTATTGCAGTTTGTTTTATTGCCAAAACATCCATCTTGCATAGAGTCTTCTCCATGTGGACCAAAGAGCTATATCACTGTATAACTATTCCATAGAATGTTTATTTGCTATGTTTTCATTTTATTTTCTTGTTAAAGTAAAGCAATTGGAGAAAAAGAAGATGCCAAAGGAGATATCACCCACACATGTACATAGGATGCATCGTGCATACAAAATAATACCTATGTGTTGCTTCAAAACTCTGAAGTATCAACATAATTCTGAAGATTATCCCTCAAGTGGTTGACCCTTTCCGTCACCCAACTGTTTAATGAACTAAAAAACTTGTTTTTGACATAAACTTTTGATTTTGCCTTTTCTCTCTGTTTCCTTTGTGGTTGCTGTGCCAAATTTACCTAATAACTTTGTGACATCAATTTACATATAGGTGCCTTAATGGTGTTGGTACTGAAAGTCATTTCATGTGCTATGAATTACAATGATGGGTTACTGAAAGAGGAAGACTTGCGTGAGCCACAAAAGAAAAATCGGTTGCTTAAGTTGCCCTCGTTAATTGAATACATCGGTTATTGCCTCTTCTGTGGAAGTCACTTTGCTGGACCTGTTTATGAAATGAAGGATTATCTTGAGTGTACAGAAAGGAAGGGGGTAAGTTTCTAGACTTCTGTGTGTTGTGTACCTCTGTCCTGGCAAGATTAACTAGTGCTCAGCTTTGATTATTATCTTTCTTAGATTTGGGCACCTTCTGAGAAGGGATGGTCACCATCACCTTTTGGGGCTACTGTCAGAGCTATTCTCCAAGCTGCTACTTGTTTGGGGTTGTACTTGTACTTGTCACCACAATTTCCATTGTCCCGGTTTACAGAACCTGTATACCATGAATGGGGTTTCTGGAAACGGTTGGGTTACCAGTACATGTCTGGCTTTACAGCACGTTGGAAGTACTATTTCATCTGGTCAATTTCAGAAGCTGCTATCATTATTTCTGGCCTGGGTTTCAGTGGTTGGACTGATTCTTCTCCACCAAAACCACGATGGGACCGTGCAAAGAATGTTGATATTTTGCGTGTTGAGTTGGCAGAAACTGCAGCTCAGTTACCACTTGCGTGGAACATACAAGTCAGCACCTGGCTACGTCATTGTAAGTTTTCATTGTTTCTAAGGGTCACCCCTACCTTTCTATTCTCTCCCTCTCTGCTTTCATTTCCTATCTCACTAGTGCATCAATATTTGTTAGTAGAAAATTTGAATTTCCATATACACAGAAAGAAAATCCATAGTTTTATTTATTTAATTTGTGTGTATGGCTTTGACCACAATCAAGGTACTGCTGAGTTTGACCTGATTGGAGAAAAAGAACCATAATTTGTTTCACCATTTTTATTGCTTTGATGAAATTATTAGTATTCTCATTACCTCTACTTGACCTTGTTATAGATATAACATTACTTGGTCTGATTGGATCATGATTCAATTCATTTCCACCTTTAAACCCTGACTACCCATGCACTCTTCATTTTTATTGTTCATTTATGAAAAATTATTCTCATGTATTCCATACTCGTTTGATATAGCAAAATATTGGCCTTAACCAACTTCCATTTATGATGTATGATAAATAAAGAACACAATTTCGTTTTTTGAACTTTTTTTGTTCACTGGTTAGTGTGACATTAAGAATACCCCTGAAAGATGAAAAGGATAGAAGACTCTGAGACGTCTTTGTTTGGCGGATTGGAGGGTGGATTGAGATTGATACATGTTTTTTCTTGTTCCCTAATATTGCACTTGATTTGGTAAAGTGGGTGGGATTGGGTTGAACATCCAAGGGTGTTGCATTAAACATGTTGACACAATAGACCTGTCAGAGCATTAGTGCCACCTGAAATCTTGATATGATGGTTTAAAGTGATAAATTGCATGCTTTATCTAATAATTCTGTTTTCCTAGTTTAATGTTACGTATATATCTGTTGTATAATATATTGCTGTTCTTCCAGATGTTTATGATAGGCTCATTCAGAAGGGAAAGAAACCTGGTTTCTTTCAGTTGCTGGCTACCCAGACCGTCAGCGCTGTTTGGCATGTGAGTAAATACTTTAGTTTATGCTATTCAGTGAATGCTTCACTTATCCATTAATGAATTAAGACTTTTTAGTTGCTTTATACCTCGGTTGGTGGGCATATGGCTAGCTGGAGTTGTATCTCCCGTACCCTAGAAAACAGGTTGAAGGTTTTGACTTGGACATGAGTATTTGTGTTTTGCACTCTGTTAAAAAAACAAAATTAAAAAGAAAAAGTTCTATAGCAATTGTATCCATCATTATTTTGACATGATTCACTAAGCACTGCTTTTTTAGAATCTTCCCTCTGTTAATATTTATTTCATCTTGGTTATACATTTGGGCATTTGAATATTTTCTTATTTATTTATTTATTGTTATTATTATTTTAAAGTTTAGTTCTCTAACAACTTGACTTCTTGTTCAAATGGTTTCATCATGCTACAGGGTTTATATCCCGGATACATCATATTCTTTGTGCAGTCGGCATTGATGATTGCTGGTTCAAGAGGTAAGAATCAGGCTTCTCTTGTCTAATAGTTCTGCTACGAACACAGAGGCCAGTCACAAAATACATGACTGGTCAAGATTTATAAGATTGGGCACACTTATAAATTTTTTTACCTGTCCATGTACGAAGATCTGTTTCTGTGTTCTTAGACTTGTTCTTTGTCTGATAGTGCTTTATTCAGATGGTTAAACTTTTCTTTGATTGCCTTAATTTTTTGTTGGTCTATGAACAGCTATTTATAGGTGGCAACAAGCTATTCCTCCCAATATGGCTCCACTGAAGCAACTATTAGTACTTTTGAACCTTGCATACACGGTTCTGGTGTTGAACTACTCATGCGTTGGTTTCATGGTACCATCATTTTCTTTTGTTTCCTTCTCTCTTTCTAAAATCTTGCTAAAACAGACGTTTAGGGCTGCAAAACGAACCAAACTCCTCGAGCTCAACTTATGTTTGGCTCATTAAAAGCTCGTTCTTGAATATATTTTTAAGTTTGTTAAAGTTTTCGAGTGAAGTTTCAATGACTTACTACTTTACTCGATAAACATATATGTATTAGCTACTTGAGCTTGACTCGTGTTCGGGCCATTAAAACCTCGTTCAAAATTTGGTCGTTATGTAAACAAGCCAATCTTAAACACGTTTTGAAGCTTATTAAGATTTCAAGCCAAGCTTGAACAACATATCACTTCGTTTACTGTTTTTGCTTGTATTTCACAGGTATTAAGCCTGCGCGAAACAGTTGTTGCCTACGGGAGCGTGTATTACATTGGAACCATTGTTCCTATAGTCTTTATCCTCCTTGGTTATATCATTAAACCGGCACGACCTTCAAGATCTAGAGCTCGGAAAGATCAGTGAGAGGAAGAAACTGCATTTTCAGAAATTTATGGAGGGCTCTGCTATGTATCAACCTTGTGTTCTTGATAAATTGCATCTCCAGAAGTTGTTGAGTTGAGCCTTAAACACATTTAAACTTTGCTTCAAAGCATTGGCATAACTTAATTTCAATCAGCATGATGAACTCAGCTAATCTTTCAGAAACTACACAGTTATATTGAATCATTTTCATTTTGTTTTTGTTTGTCATTGGCCCCTCTTTTGTTTTGTTTGTTTTTCACTGTTTTAGATAGACATCAGTGCTGACCATCACTCTGTGTCTTGCTCATGTTGAGTGACAACTTCTTTTAGTTTCAGCTTATAAATTGTGTTGTTTTTAGATTTATTTTTGTCTTTACTGATTTTCTTTTAATAAAATTTGTGAATCAAAGTAGTTACTTTTTAGGTGGTTTAGATTAGGCGACTTCAAATTTTTTTATTTTATTTTATTTTTTAAATAATAGTTTACTTTTTGGTCCGTTTTGACTATAAATCTTAAAGTTTTTGATAAAGTTTAGTAAAGATAAAAACAAGCTAATTTTTACCAGGGTTTTTAATAAATTTTGATTTATTTTTATCTTTAGTGTATTTTATTATTTTTTTAAAAGTCAGAATATTTTGCAATTTGGCTAGTCTACACGGGCTGAGGAACTAAGCTGTGTTTGGTTAGATTTTCAAATTATAATTCTGGCACTACATTCCAATGCCATGTTTGGATATCTTTCAAATTATATTTTCACAACAAAAAGAAAATTGTCAGGTGGAATTTTTTTTTTTTGAAATTTGACTTAATTGGTCGTCCGGCAAGTCGTCCAAGTGGTTAACCGGAACAGGGCAATTTTATTTTATTTTTATTATTATTATTTTTTTTACAATTGGCACTTTTTTTTTTTAATAAAACAATATTTTCAGAACTTTTAAAATTTTTTTATAAGCTTTTAATAGATTTTTGAGTTGTATATTTTGTTATGAGTTATAAGTTTTTATATCAAATATCACGTCACATAAAAAATTCCTCACTCAATTCAAAAATTCTTTTCAAACTCATAATCAAACAAATTTTTTATACTTAAATCATAATTTCAAAACATATAAATTTAAAATATAACTTTATTCTCAAATTATATTTCTAAACACTACCTAAATTATTTTTGCATCATTTTTAAAAAATTTCACTATCAACAAAAATTAAGTCAAAGAAGAAAAAAAGAAAAAAATGGTCAGTTTACAAAGCCCACGTGGCTGTAAAAACAACCCCCAGGCCCAGTCCATATAGGTATAAGGGTGTGTTTGATTGGGAATAAATTTTTTATCAAGCGTTTATTTATTTTTTATTCCGTCGGACATGGAGTCCGGCCGAATTTCTTATCCCTCGTATAGAGGATTATACTATCTTGAGTTGGGGGGGGGGGTATGGGACAATTATTTTATTGGACTATTTATCGTTGGGATTAGAATGTGAAATGACCATTTTGACCTCTACTATTTGATTATATATTATATTAGTAAAATTCAATAAAATTTAAATGTCTCAATGTAAAAATAAAAATAATTTTGTTTAACTTTTTATTGATGTTTTATTTATTTAATTTTTTAAAATAATTTTTTATAATATTTTATTGATGTTTTTTTTAAAATTTTGTTTATATTTTATTTAATTTCATTATTTAAATTTTAATAGATGTTTTTACTTAATTTCATTGTTTTATTAATAATATTTTTTAAAATAAATTTATTTAAAATTTTAATTAAAAAATAATGTATATTTTATTATTGATATTTTATTTATTTAATTTTTTTAAAATAAAATTATTTAATTGTGTAAAAAATAAAATAAATAAAATTATTTAATCTAGCAAAAAAATAATTAAAATATTAAAGATATGTTTTAATTTGCTATTAATTAGTAAACAATCGAAAAATGATAAAATAGTTTTTTGTTCATTTATCCTATCAAGTCCGTCTAATCAAATATTGGATTCATTAAAAATAGTCATTTCCCAGACATCTAATCCCATGAAAAAAAAAACACGGAGATATACATCCAATCCACGAAATAGTCCGAGGGATTCACAGACCCATAATTCAATTCGATAGATTTCTAATCCCCTTATCTAGTCCGATGGATTTGAATTTCTGGGACTGTGAATCCCTCGGACTATTTGATTTGATTGGATTTGATTGGATTGGATGTGTATCCGTGTTTGTTTTTTCAATGGGATTAGATGTCTGAAAAAGACTATTTTAGTGAATCCAATGTTTGGTTGGACAGACTGGATAGAATAAATGAACAAAAGACTATTTTACCCTTTTAATTGTTTTATTAAGTAATAAATATTAAACATATCTTTAATATTTTAATTATTTTTAGCTAGATTAATAAAATTTTATTTTATTTTATTTTTTACAATAATTAAAAAATTTATTTTTTAAAAATTAAATAAATAAAATATCAATAAAAATATATGTTATTTTTTTAATTAAAATTTTAAATAAATTTATTTTAAAAAATAATAATTAAACATTTAATTGTCTAAATAAAACATCTATTAAAATTTAAATAATGAAATTAAATAAAATATAAACAAAATTTTAAAATAAAACATCAATAAAAAGTTAAATAAAATTATTTTATTTTTAAATTGAGGCATTGAATTTTACTAAATATAATACAAAATTAAATAATAGATAGTCAAAATAGTCATTTCACCACCTAATCCCAACAATGGATAGTCCTCCGAAAATTGTCCCCCCCTCCAGGATACAATAGTCCCTCATATGGGGGATAAGGAGTCTGGCCGGACTTCATGTCCGGCAGACTAAAAAAAAAAAAAACCCCGGGTCGAATGCTTCCCCCAGATTACAATCCGCACAGTAAATAATCCCCCGTATCCCTCCAATCAAACACATCCTAAAAGTATATTGTAATCCAACATAGTGTAGAACTTGTCTTATATAAAAGGATTGTGTCTGGTGGACTTTTATATTTTTAACCCTTTTATTAGGCGTTTATTAAAATACAAATTTTCTTTCATTTTCTACTTGTATATAACTCAGCAGTTTCTTCAACCAACTTTCCTAATAACTTTAGAAAGTACAATATTAAAAAAAAAAATACAGTTGCAGAAGAAGAAAAATAATAATAATAAAAATATTACATTTTTGCCTTAAGAATAGTTGATGTGAGGTTCACATGATAATTTTTATTATCAAATTTAACATAAAAAATATAACGAGTTAACTAGGAAACCAAAGTGAAATTTAATGTAAATTAAAAGAGAGTAAAGTGTAATTTATGTGTAATATATTAAATGCAAATCAATCTTCTTTTCTTGATCCATAAGATCAGACAACTACATTGGAGATGTTAGTAGAAACCACAAATCACATTATCCTTTTAGATTTAAGTATAAATTTGTAAAAGGAAAAAAGAAGAAAAATGTGAGTGAAATATGAGTTAAATTTGTTAAATATTTTTCATTCCTTTCTATTTTTTCTCCACATATTCCTATGCAATTCCAAGATTCAAACATAACCTAGAAATTACCCAAAGACCAAAATGCTATCTTGTTATCCAAAAATCCCAATATTTCATTAGGAGATCATAAATTTTTTTATCTATTTGTAAGTCTTTCCTCATTGTATTTGTTTGAGATTTTTTTTTTACTTTTTTCTTTTCTCTATTTGTTGTTAGTTTGTGGCTTTGTGTTAGACTTCTTTTAATAAAATTTTTCATGTCACTTGTAATTTATTTCCTATTAATCAATTTATAAAAAACAGAAAACAAAAAAAACAAAGGCACAAGGACAAGCACTTTTCATGTCCCAACCAAACACAATAAAACATATAAGTGGCATCTCGATCGATTAAGGATTCCATGAAAAGAAAATGACTCAATGATCACATGCATATATATATATGTATGAAAATGTATGTGAGAGAGATGCATGAATCAAACAAGCTCCATATCCATGGTGGGGCTTTGTTGCTATTCATACCCAAAATGACAGCTTGTTGGCTTAATCTCATCCATAAGATCATCACCCACCTATCCTAAAACATAATTATAAACCATATCTGAACAAACAATCTTTTAGTGTTGGCATGGAGTTGCCTCCTTTTTCATCATTAAACAAAACAAAAAGAAAAAACCAAAAAAGAAAAGACATGTGCAAAGCAAAATCTCAACATGTAGTCTATATATAGCTTATCTATGGTAGGGACTACGAGACTGTTCTATCCCATCCCATCCCATCCACTTTGGTACATTGGATGACTGCAACAATATTGGGAATTAGAAAAAGTATATAGAAAAGTATATTTATGGATTATAATCATTCTAAATGTAATTTACATCTCATGAATTTTAAATTTACACCATTCCTCTCATTTTTGAGATAAAATCGAAAATCAGTTTCATAGTCCATAGCATTTTCCGGATACTTGTGAGTTTATTATGGTACACATTTGATAATTTATTTTTGTTATTTATGTTTTTATATGTAAATCATCCATAAAATCAGTTAGATTGATTTTTATAACCGTAATTATATATTTTTATTATTTTCAAAAAATAAATGACAAATAAAATTTTAAGATAGATAGTCCATTTTTTTATTTATTAAATAAAAGACTAGAATAACGAAATTATATAATTATAATTATCATATCAGTTTAATTTAATTTTGAATAAATTATAAATACACCCCCTGAGATTTGCTTAAGGTACATATTGCCTCATGTGATTTAAAAAATTACAAATACCCCCTTGTTATAATTTTTTTATTTAACAAAATTAACTAAAAAAATGAAATTCATAATTGCTCTCCTATACAATAACAAAATTACTTAAATTATTAATTGAAATATATTTCTAATATCATTAAAAATTGTTAATTGACTTGATAATTTATTAATAAAATGGACGATTTGTTATAAAATTAGAAACCTTAAGGGGTGAAATGTAATTTTCAAAACCATAGGGGGCGATTTGTATCTTAATCAAACCTCATGAGGTTTATTTTTAAATTACCCTTTAATTTTTTTTAAATAAATAATTTAGGCTAGAAGAATAGTACTTTAATTGAAGGTTAGTATCTCTGCGATGGCATTGATTGGACCATATCTACCCTAATTCATTGTCAATGCCAATGCTCCTAAGTTTAGTTAGATAGACTAATCAACTTATAAAAATATGTTTATTAGTCATATTAAATGATCAATCCATCAAATTAAATACAATGGATGGCGAGTTTGAAGGCTAACACTTTCATATTTTTTATTCTCTTTTTTATTCTGTATCTTCTTGACAACCAAACAAAAATTTGAAGAATTATTTGAGCTTGACGCATTAGAGGGATAGCATGTGAAATTTGAAGTATGAACTGTCAAATCAATTACATTATCTAAAGTTAAAGCATGGTTCTAATCTCTATCCTCCAAGGTAATATTTAGTTTAAGGGTAAGAAAATTTACTGTCCCAAACACAAAACACCAAGGTTGGCTTTGATTTTTTGAAGGGGAAATTATCTATCAGAAAATTATTACTGAACTATGGAAATTATTAATATGTATAAAAATTTATCACTTATCTGTAATTTCTTTTCGAGATTTACATTGAATTGATTCCCCCTTTTTTTGAATGCCCAATTCCCTTACTGTAGCAGTCAATTTTTTCATTGTTCAATTCAAATTGCATGCCTAAATAAATAAAAATCAAATTCAAATTCCATGCCTAGATGAGAGTACTAGTAAATTAGTAATAGAATATGAGAAGTCAACTTAACTATGGTCAAATCTATACATCTCTTTTCTTCTCTCTTTCTCTCTTAATTTTTTTTTATTACAATATATCTCAATTATAGTGAAATAGAATGGACAATCAATTACCAACAAATCACAAATTACATATAATATAAACTCCCCAATTAAATTAGGGAACAAACTCACACACAAATGGAAAGAATCAAATTTCTAACCTTCTAATGAAGTGTAAGGGTTCTAGTCATCATCCTAAATTATCGAATAATGTTATGATAAGCTTCCAAAACTAGTGAATAATTCTAATTTTCATAGGAACTTGGTTTTGTTTAGACAAAATAATTTTCCTATTACAAGTTTACAAGAAGCTATTTTTCATGCCCAAGGCATGGCCATATCTAGGTGGTGTCTCAAATACATTGTAATTGATGTGTTGAACATTAGAAGAATAGTAAGAGACATAACATCTAGGCCTTGTTTGGGAAAGTAAATTTTTAGTCAGAAAGTCCTTACAAACTGTTACATCATTCTTTTTATTTTTCTGCATATCTTTTATTAAAAGTCAAAAAAATAACTAAAATAATTAATTTTCAAACAAGTCCTCAATAAGTGATTTGTGACATATACCAAGTGGGTTTTATGGACAACAAATAATTTTTTCCATGTTTAACACATTTTTGGGTATATATTATGATTGTAGTACATGACTACATATCACTCTCAGTGGCAAAAACAATGAGCATAAACCAAAAATCAAATGTAAGAGAAGTTGATAGGACTATGAAACTAGACACTTGTAGTACAATACAATATAATATAATATGATAACAGCTAATTGCTAGCTTGTACCACTTCCAAAAAATTTGCGTGTGCTCTCATTATCATACACCCTCTCAAAAACCCTAATAGTACTAAACCCCCCAGATAAAGCCACGATTAATCCCCCGAATTCCCCACGCTTCACTTTTTTCATACTTACATATAAATATACCAAACATGTATCCTCTCAATATCCTTCACCACCCCACCCATATTATATATATACCATCCATAGAGAAAAATATTATTTTTAAAAAAAAATTATAATGATTCATTTGCTAGAATAATATATGAGTGTCAATTTCAGTACCAGTGTTAGTATCAGTTTTGATATTAAAAAAATATTTTAAAGAGTTTAATTTTGTTTTGATAGGGTTATAAATTTGTGACTATAGATTTTCTATATATATAATTTTTATTTATATATTCTTATTTATTATATATATGGCTGACCCTCCACCCCATACTAACTTGCGCCAGGTAGACCAACTATCATACCTTGACCCTCCTCCTCCGGCACATTCTGTATCTATCACCACGTGTGAAAATATATTCTCTCCTTATCATCACCACCGCCCAAACGCCGCCATGAGTTCCACCTCCTCCGGCGGCTCACCCAGCCGCCCACCTCCCGGAAAACATCCAATCTACCGGGGAATACGGAGCCGGAGCGGAAAATGGGTGTCGGAGATTCGAGAGCCCCGGAAAACTACCCGTATATGGCTGGGCACCTACCCGACGCCGGAGATGGCGGCCGCTGCCTATGACGTGGCTGCCCTAGCTCTCAAGGGCAATAATGTAATTCTCAACTTTCCAGAATATCTTCATGGGTATCCGGTCCCGGCTTCTTCGGCGGCGGCGGATATACGCAGTGCAGCTGCCTCCGCCGCTTTGTTAATGAAACCGGAATCTGGTGTGAATCCGATGGCGGCGCTGCCGGGTGGTGATGGTGGTGGTGGGTCGGCCCCTGCAGCTGGACATGAATTTGTCGATGAGGAGGCATTGTTTGGCATGCCGAATTTGCTGGTGGATATGGCGGAGGGAATGCTGATGAGTCCGCCGAGGATGAACTCGTCGCCATCTGACGATTCGCCGGGAAATTCTGACGGAGAAAGTCTATGGAGCTATTATTAACAAGGGTTTTTGAGCATACGATTCCAAATTAGGGTTTTAAATATCGGCTGTATCACGATTGTGGAGTCTTTGGTTCGATGCCATTATCTATCCATATGTCAGGTGATATAGTGTCTGATATTGAATCATGAAAGAAAAACTTAAACCCAAATAAGCCAAAAGTTTGATAGCATCAGGGAATGAAGAACTGGTGGTTGTCGAGAGCTTTTCTTTTTTTTTTTTTTTTTTCAAATCAAAAATAAAGGTGCATGAGCCTTACCTTTTTATGCTGTAAAGTGAAACGTGGGCTAGCTGTACTCTAAAAGAAAAAGTGTGGCTTATCTTGTCAAGATTATAAAAATTGATAAGAAAGAGTTTTACGTTTTCCAATACTTGGAGAAATGAAACTTTAATTATCAATATTTTGAGTTGTAAAAAAAAAAAATACAAAAAAATACAAAAAAATAAAATTTTTGCTTGTCAATTTTTTCTGTAAATTGAAGTGCGTCATCAGCTATGATATTTTTCAAATTTTTAGATGTGGTCCTTGAGGGAGGGTCATAAGTAAACGTAGTGTAGAAGACTGTTTGCTCATGAGTGAGTGAGAGAGAGTGCATGTAATATATAATGTTAGTATTATATGTTAGTGATGTTAGTATTCTATGTTAGTATTGCTAGTGTTATCATTATGTTTAGTTTGGCACCCTATGTTGGCTTTCTCCTCTCTATAAAGAGAGTGTAAATCTCTTTGTAATTATACAGAATAATAGAGATAATTCAGTGTCTCTCTCTATCTTATCTCACTCTCTCTCAATTTATCTTACATATAAAATTGGTAGTGTTAGTGGTGCCATTTTAGTACAGTAATTTTCCAACACTGGACTGGGCTACCCTTGTTATCTGCATCTTTTATTTTTATTTTTATTTTTTATGAAGGAATGCCAAATGTTTCTGTGTGCTGTTTTTCCTTTGAAAGACTGGGTTATCGGAGTAAATATTGATTATAACAATGCTATTACTATGATGTGTTGATATCATCATTCATTAAGTAATCTCACTTTACAGTAAGAATTATAACATGTTACCATCATTATACTATTTTTTTGTTTTTGTTATTTTAATTTTTTTTGGGTGCTTATGAGGAGCTTAGATAAAAGACAGCTCTCGCATACGTAAGTGAAATTTTTTTTTTTTAATTTTATAGTAATAGGAAAAAATTGCACACTAAATTTTATTTTAAAAATGTCTTTCAAAATAGAGGTATGTAATATAAATTTAAATTTAAATTTAATATATTATGAGTCGCGCTTAAAATGAATATTACTTGCTCATTTTCTGTTAAACCTATGTATGCATGCTAATATGCTAAGATATCATTTTCAATCCCATATTCATAACACCATTTGAGCTATATAAAACTCAGTGACTGTGTGTATGTCTCTTGAGTTGTGCCTAAGTGCTTGATACCAAGATTGAGACTCATTACTTATTACGGTGGTCACTGATTTAATGATATTTTAATAGGGTTAATGATTCGACTTTGAATTTAATAGGTTTAATAATTCAAAATTTCATCAATAATATAAGACCATTATACCAATGAGAAACAAAATGTGACTTTGAGAATGATTAGGGTTTCCTGTCTGGTGGTCACCTTCTGTTACTTCTTTTTGTCCATTTCACAATTTTTAATTTTAATTGGCGACTAAAAGGAAAAAAACATAATTGACATTCCTACAAGGTTGTAATTAAATTTCTACTTGTTGACTTATGAGACTCATATTATATGAGTTTTATCTAAAAATTTAAAATGTCAAAACTAAAAATTATAATAAAATAATAAATTTGTGACGTGAACTTTAAATTGCTTGTTTATACTTTGTTAGTTGTTTGTCACATCAACACCAATTAAAAAAGACAAACAAATGGGAGAATCAGAAAAATTACATGTAAATCTTAATAAGTGTAGTTATTATTTAATAAGTCTTATAATAATTAATAGTATTTTTCATCAAACACTACTAAAAAAATATCACTAATTATTAATTTTCAGCGATAGTTTGAAAATTTTTTCACAAAAATATTACTAATTATAAGTGTTAGTAACAGTTTAAAAAAATTATCATAAAAAAGTAACTAATTTTTAACTTTCAATGACGGTTTGAAAAATTCGTTATAAAAAAATATCATTAATTATAAGTCTTAGCGACAATTTATAAAAATCGTGACAAAAAAAACTTATAATTGTCAATTTTTAGCAACATATGCAAAAAATCATCACAAAATTATTTTTAACGACTAGTTTATTAGGACTTACTTTCAATAGAATTTGATGGGAATTAAGTCTAACTATTAGAATATATATGTAGTTTACCCAAAAATTAATTACAAAAAAGTAATGAACATTATAAATATATATTTTTTTTATTGGCAAAACAAAATTTTTATTGATGGGAACATACGAAGTATGAAAGAGTACATCAATAAAGAGGAGTTTGGATCTAGCAAAAGTTTAGTTCCAGTTGGTGAGAGACCAACAACAAGCAAAGAAAGAAAAACCAGAAAAGCAAAAGGCTTCCATATGAGCCACCAGCAATAGAACAAAATGGCTGCCACATGATCCTCCAGCATAACAAAATTAGCAGAACAACAACCTCTAGTAGCAGAACAACCAGCAGACTACCAACAGATAACAAAGAAAAAAACCAACACATACCATCAACCTTGAAACAACATTGCCTTGAAACTATACTGCCTTGAAATTTCCATGAACTACATTGCAGCCCTTCAATCATTCTACATAACCATGAACTACTACCAACAAAGCAAACGGAGAAAAGGCAGAGAGAAACCAGAGAAAAACCAGCACAAACAAGAGAAAAACCAGTAGAAAATCACCAAAAATAGTGCTGAAGCATGCTAACAGGTATTCAACCAAACACACCCACTAAGAGGCACTAGACTCCATATACTTTGTTGCCTTCAAACTAGGCCAAATCTGATATTCATGGGAATCTAGACATAACCTGAGATACATCAGCTCCTGCACTTTTGTAACTGATGGTATATGCATTACCCTTAACCTCTATGACTTTTGAATCTGCACATCACCAGTCAAAAACAAAGTGGCTCCTTCACTTCTGTAACTACTTAACTCAGTACAACAGAGCTTCTTCAAAGCACAACCTGATCTGCCCTAAATTACAGATGAAATAATTGGTTGAAAAATGAAACTCTTTCAGATATGGATTCAACCACAGAGCAATCCTAGTCTTAATCAATTCACACAACTTAACCAAATTTGGGTTAGCTGCCTGAAACACACATTTATTTATAAGTTTCCAAATTGACCACAGCACAACCAATGGGATAGCACTCCAAATCTTTCTTTCCAGCCTCTTCATCCTATCTCCAGCCCACCATAACAGCAGCTGATCTACTGAGCCTGAAAATGCCCCTTGAGTCCCCCACCAATTCAATATATTAGTCCATACACTCCATACAAAAGGACAACAGATTAAAACATGGTTCACAAACTCACAATCAGTCTTGCAAAACACACATAGACCATCCCCATTCCCAGTTAGAACACCAATTCTTTGTAAAAACTCAACAGTCTTGATTTTGTTTTTCCAAGCTAACCACCCAAATACTTGAACTTTAGGGAGGACAAAATTAAGCCACACCAACTTAGTGATTAGAAGAGTTAGGCCAATATTACAGGCAGCAAACCTATACAGTGATGCTACAGAAAGCTGACCTGAAGTTGATGTTGTGCAGACAGGCTTATCCACCTGGTCAGACCTCACTGCAGGTCCTGCTGCTAATTGATTCAGGAGATTTTGGAGCTCCACCTCCTCCCACACATACAACACTCTTCTAAATGATAGATTTCATCCTTCTAGTGAATCTTTCCTATCATAGATATCCTTCAAAGTATCACTTTTCTCTAGGGACAATCTATATAGACTTGGGAACTCATCTTTCAGACAAAAATGCTGACACCATCTGTCAGCCCAGAAGCTAATCCTTCTGCCATCCCCAGCTTTCAACTGAAAATTGTTCACAAAGACTTCTTGAAGATTGTTTCTATGTTCATCAAAAATTGTAATGCATTTCCACACAGTTGACTGGTTAGTTCCAGGAATAGAGAAAGACAGCCAGCTTGCAATTTTCAGCTTATACCTGCTGCATATAACTCTTTTTTACAAAGCTTCACTCTCATATCCAAACCTCCACCACCATTTTAGTAATAAGCAAAAGTTGACATCTTTCACCCTCCTAATGCCTAACCCTCATTGTTTCACACTTTTGCACAGCTTCTCCTATCTAACCATATGGATTTTCCTCTTAAGTTCTGATCCACCCCACAGAAATATAGCTTGGAGCCTCTCAACTTCTTTAGCAACCCCATCAGGCATTCTGAAAAGTGATAGATAGTACACTGGTAATGAAGATAGGACAGCTTTAACAAGTGTTAATCTCCTAGCAAAAGACAACAACTTCCTTTTCCACCCAGCCAGCCTACATCTAATTTTATCCAAGATAGGTTTCCATGTAGCTTTCTTCTTTGGATTAGCCCCTAGGGGTAACCCAAGGTAGCTGATTGGTAGTGCCTTCACTTTGCAGTTAAAGATTGAGGCAAAAACAGCCATATTTTCATCTGGAACCTCCACACCACACACAACACTCTTATGATAGTTAATTCGCAGCCCATATAGTACCTCAAAGCATCTTAGCACCTTTTTCAAGTTCCTCACATCATTAACCTCTGCTGCACAGAATAGTAAAGAGTCATCCGCAAACTGAAGATGAGATAATATAACACCATTTGAGCCAACCTTCACTCCTTGGACCAAACCTAAAGCTTAAGCTCTGGATAATAAGATATGTAGCCCTTCTGCAACTAAATTAAACAGGAAATGGGATAAAGGGTCTCCTTGTCTTAAACCCTTTTACGGACTGAACTCTTCAGTTGGTGACCCATTAACATGCACTGACATCCTAGCAAATGTTACACATTCCTTGATCTAACTGATCCATTTATTTCCAAACCCATATTAAGATATCATATAGAATAAGAAACCTCAATTAATGGAATCATATGCTTTTTCAAAGTCCAGCTTAATAATTAGCCCCTTCTTCTTTGTCTTCTTCCACCTATCTACCACCTCATTTGTAATTAACACACCATCTAAAATGTTCCTCCCACTTAGAAATGTTGTCCGGGTTTCACTAATCATGTGG